CGAGGCGTTGGGCGTGCGAAATGCGGTGGCGCATCGCGCACGACCAACGCCACGTATATGCGCTGATCATCCACGTGCTTTCGGATGAAGACGACACCAGCTCTCCCGGGATTGACGCCGTAGGGCGCGCGCTGATCATCCACGTGCTTTCGTGGAGAGCGACACGTGGATGATCGACATCCTCCGCTCGATGGCCAAAGCGCGTTTTTTGAAACAGACCACGGTCACGCGCAGCCCATGTGGCACCCGCTTATCTTCCACCACACCCGGCGTGTCAACTGTCTCTCCTGCTCTCTCAGTTCGCCCCGCTACCCAGCCTTGGATCTCGTTGATGATACAAAAAAAGGTGCGAAACAATGAGTATTTTTCAAATTGTTAGCCAAGTTGGACAGGGTTGTTGATTATTCCTGTTATTGCCGATCTGAACATCGTGTGGATGCCGAAGAAAAGGAACGTGAAGGAGTCACAAGCCCTCTGGTAGATCGAGAGGAACGAACGATTGAGAAGGAAACAAATAAACCTTGTGCCCCATTGCCAACCCGGCGATCAACATGTGGTTGATCGCGGCGAACAACATGCGGAACGCGAAGACGGGGTGTCGAAACTCCGACAACTGGAGCGCACGAGCAGTCGGAAGGACGGTAATGACGCGACAGCGAGAGGAGACAGACGCTGTACCATGAAGGACGGGAGCAGCTCGTTGGCGAGGGAAAAGCGCAGCCAATGGCGGACACGCGCTGATTCAGAATGCAAGGACAGGGTGTCCTATCTCCGAAAGCTGGAGTAGATGAGCGGACGGGAGGACGGGAGTGAGGTGGACATCCGGGATGAAGAGCGGAAACCTAGAAGCCCACGCTCGGAAACACGTGGCGCGACTGCGAGGCACCGAAGGCGATGGCCGATGTCGCAGAGGTCACGTCGCGTTCGAATGCGCTCGTGGGCGGGAGATGCGAATGGGCTGCACCAAACCCAAGGTAGTTGTTCACTGGCATCCAAATCCCTCCTCCGACTGTCGTGGGACCGCACGGAAAGACCAGCCC